GAAGTTTACAATACTTAGAATTTACTTACGCGTTTATTTACTCTAAGGCGTTCATATCGCCTTAATAGACCGAATCTTACACATTTTAAAGTTAGCAAAGGTATTAATTACTTAGACTACTTAAGCGTAAAGGTAGATTAACTACCAAAAAAAATTCTTGTCCAAGCTAGTCCTTAAGAGACAAGCTAGTAGTCATAAGTTAAGAGTATGACCTAGAAAGACAATACTCCTTCTAAGAAGCGTAGAGCTGAAAAGAAGAGGATGGAGAGAGACGCCGCTGCTGCTGCCGCATTTAACGCGACCGCAGAAGAGGACAATCAATCCGTAACCGAAATCATTGCTACTGGTATTAATAACCAGGACAATACAACAGATAAGGGTGAAAACACTCCATTAAGAGAAAAGTCCCCTGAAAAAAGAGCCCGCGGGCCAACTAATGCGTCTGTTTCGAAGCTTACGTTTACGAAGCCAAGAAGCCACGCAAAAGGATCGGTTAAGACGATCCCTACTAAACCTGATGAGAACACTCAGAAGGATCTAACTCCAATTACGGAGAAAGGAGACAACCCGCTTAAGGGAGAGGATGAGAAGGAAAGCTCAGAGAGCCGACCCGAATCAGAATCAAACCAGCCATCGCACATAAGTAAGTTGATTGATGAGAACACTGAACTTAAGAATCAATTAGCCGCTCTTAAGAAGCGAATGACCTCGCAGGAGAAGGCGGTTGTTAAGAAACCGCGGGAGCAGACCTCAAACCTCAAACGAGAGACCCCAACAAAAAAACGTCCACGTCAATCTACTCAATTTACACGCCCTGTTAAGAAAGTGCGTGCGGAGAACAAGGAACCTGCATACAAGCAGGTTAAGAAATGTGCTGATGAGAAATGTGGTTATGACATGTACCAGTTAACCCCTAAGGGTTACTGGAACGGAAAGCATACCCAATCTTATAAACACTATCTTACAAAATGCAATAATTGTAAGAAGACCAATGGCTACCACACTAAATCGTGTAACGTCAGACCCAACATTAAGTTAGAGTAAAGGTACTACCAGGTACAATCGTTACACAGACAATACAACGACTCTTTAGATGAGCGTGTAATAATCCCTGTATACTGCAATGGAAATAAAATCCTTGCGATGATTGATCCTGGTTCAGAAATTTAATGTAAATCCGATCGCTTTGCATTAATAAAAGTTATCGAAAGGAGAACACAAACAACTTACTTCATTTTAGCTGATGATAAAACTTCTAAGTGTGATACCATGGCCACAGATGTTAAAATCTCCCTGGCCGATGATAGGAGTATCACTACCCAAGCTGTGGTAGTTAAGATGTCACAGAAGTACGACATTCTACTCGGAATGAGCGA